GAAATGAGGTAGGAGAATCAGTGGGGAGTTCAAGACCAACTTGGACTATATGACAGCCTTTTATAAATATATATGTACATACACGCACACACACACATATGTATGTGTGTGTGTATGTGTAATACATATGTGTATATATCCCCTTTTCCATTCATCTCTGCTCTTGCCTTTCAAGAATATCATTACCCCATTTTCCACTTTGTGGCAAGTATGAACACAGGTTTTTTCCTTTCTAGGTAGACACTTTACCAACTGAACCATCTCCTCAGGCCCATCCACAGTTTTCCTCTTATCTTTATAAGATTTTCCTTTCTTATGACATCATTTTCAGCCCATCAAACATGCTCTAATATCTTTATTCAAGAAGATAACAAACTTTGTCTTGTCTTTCTAAACTCTTTGCTCAGTCAAGCTGCCCAGCACACCAAACCCTAAGTATGAGTCCTTTCTCAGCATGCTGCAAAAACTGCTCTGGGAAATTGGTGATGGCAGTGTATGCTTGTGAGTCCAGCGCTTTGTTGACACAGGGGGAAGAGGATCGCTGAGAACACAAGGACAGCTTGGACTACACAGTGAGTTCAAGGAAAGCCTGCACTGTAGAGTGAGACTTTATTGGGGGGGGGCGGTAACTCCTGTAATATTTTCAGCCTCTATTTTATTTGATTAGATGCTAGCATTTGGTGAAAGGAGCCATTCCTCCTCCATACCCAGCTTCTACTGACTTCCCTGACCACACTCTTGATGTTTTTTGCCTGCTCTTGAAGGTTTCTTTTTGTTTTTGTCCAGCCTCCCCTTTTCCGATTTCCTCTGATAGCAGAACTTACTCAGAGTGAATTTTGGACCCTACCTGCTATCTGTGGCACATTCTTATGACCTGGATTCTGATAGTGTTTACACTTAGAATGCCTGTTAATGCACATGTAATTCTTTTTAAGAGTTGTGTACATGCTGGTGGTGTGTGCACATGCAGGTGAGTGTTCTGCATGCATGAGTGCATGCGGGTCCAAGCCCGTGCGCGTAAAGACGAAGGTCAGAGGGGACATCAGGCGTCCATCACTCAACAGAGGGTCTCCCACCGAACCTAGAACTAGGCTGACAGCCCTGGGGTTACAGGCATAGCCGCGCTTTTTACAGGGTTGCTGAGGATTTGAAGTCAGCTTTCATGCTTACTCAGCAAGTGCTTTTCCCTACTAAGCCACCGGTGTCTCCAGCCTGATACACACATCTTAAGCCATTCTGACCTCGAGATTCCTGGATCTGTGCACTTCATTTCTGCACTGCGATGCATTTTAGATGCTTCAAAACACATCAAAGCCCATCCGTCTCTGACCGCAAAATCTTCTCCCTTTAGGGACTCTCTGCTATTTGTCCCTCTTCACCTAGCTCGTCATCTCTTCACCTGGCTCAGCCCTATCTCATCTTTAGACTTCCACTTAATGCCACATCTGGAAGGCTCTTCTTTAACTCTTCTGACTATATTATACTTTCTTACAGCACCTTTTGCTCCTCCCTTTTGCTCTATTGGAAGCATCCATATTTGCTGTCTCTTCATGATTGGTTTCCTCATGTCTTCTCCTGGCCAATGAGATACTTTGACCCTCAATAAGATGAACTACTGAATGTAAGCTCCAGGAGACCAGGGACTGTCTTTGCCTTTCTTGGTTGTTTGAAAATAAGCCCTACATTGCAAGGTTCTCACATACAGCATGCCCTCAAAATATTGTGAAATGATCTCTAAAGTTTAAGTGCTCATGTTTTATGGAAATGTAACTTTGAGATCTCTTAAACATACTCAGTTTATCCTTAAAGAAGACAAGGGACAGATGATCAACATTGTATTACATGTATTATTTGTTGTTGTGTGTCCTGGAGGTGGTGGTATGTGCCAGTGTATGTGATTAGGTCTGGGAACAACTTGAAAGAATCGCTTCTCTCTCCCCACCATCTGGGTCCTAAGGTGAGATCTTGGGTTTTCAGACTTGAGGGCAAGCACCTTTACGTACGGTGCCACTTCGACGGTCCTTCTCCACATCTTTTGAAAATTTCGGAGCAGAATAAAATGCTAGCACAGACTGTCCATGGTGGAACACAACTGTTAGATGCCAACACTTGAGAAGCTGAGCCTGTGAGTCACAAGTTCTAGACCAGCCTGGGCTGCAAAGGGTTGGAGGTCAGCCTGTATAATAAATACAGTAAGACTATATAGTCACACACACCACATCCCTCCAAAAACAGTGCAAATGAGGAATGATAGGCTGTTTTTCTCCCTGTTGAGTTGGCTACTGGAGCCAACTTCCTATTTTTAAGGTCCTTCTGGGTTCTTTATTCTCACTTATATAAATGCATTTGGCGGTTTTTGTTTGTTTGTTTTTTTTTTTTTTTTTGAAACCTTCAGCTCCACGAGGGAGACCACCAGAATGTTGAGGCGTTCCAGTACTCTAAGACCAGCAGTTTCACAAGCTTGCAAACTCAGTCTCATCCCTTTTCCAAGCCCAGCCCCCCTCACCCATCCTCTCCCTCTCCTTCATCCCCATCAGGCTTAGTGGGCTCCTGAGGAGGGCGGGGGAAGACGGAGGCCGGGAGCAAGATCTAGAGCTCGGCCCAAACCCTTCTCCCAACCTGCTCTCCCGGGGACCTCTAGCCTTCCAACTACGCTGGAAATGTATTTTCTTATCCAAAGGAAATCATGTTTTCAGCTGCAAAGTAGGGACCACAGGAGGACAGCCCGCCTGTTTACACTCGTTGGCAGGCTCCCGCGCTGCTGCGGGGACCGATTGGCTCCCTCCCCACTGACGCTCTACGGCTCCGCCCCGTCGCAGCCATCTGCTCCGCGTGGGTCCTGGGGGGTCTCCTCCAGACCCATTCCCTCCCCCCCTCCCCTCGAGCCCCCCCCGC